AGAATCTGAAGCGGATATCTCAACAAAGTGAGATATCAGCTCTTCCTCTCATCAGTTCTAGGACTGACCTGTCGAGGGATCCTACAAGCTATTACAAATCACGGCAAGAACACAAATATTTACGTGGTTCGGCAAATAGCCTACGTCCACGGGGCAAGGAGGGGGAGATCTACTATTAGAGGGAGAGATACAATTGGGGTTTACAATCTCACAAATAAAACCCTCTCACAAACTCTCAGATCCCTCACACAAATACTCTCTCAAAGAGATGCATAAAACACTAAAAGACAGCACAAACTCTAGGGAACAAACTGCACGCGTCTGACTTGCACAGCCGCTGCACCTTCTTCTTTCCCTCTGCTTCGCACGCCCACAGCGGAAAAAATTCGCAGCCGCCAAATAACTCCTCGCATGCACTTGAATCAGCCGCTCACCAAAAGTTCCGTGCCCCCAAAAAACCCTAGGGAAAAGTGCTCGTTCCTATTTATAGCCAAGCAAAACAAAATCCCACTCGTGTACGCGTACAAACGCGTCTGTGGCTTCACGTGGGACCTGCTCACGTAACCGAACACACAAAAATAGCAACCTACCTCTGCGCTTGCTCACATTGCGCAGGTGGAGAATGTGGGTGGGCCCCACATTCACAGACACATCTCTGAAAGCATGGCCCTAATCAACTTGACGGCCCAAGCACAGCAGAGGTCCGAACTCCGCCGACTCGTCAGATCACTATCATCTATGCTGACTTGAAAGGAGGGGCCAGTTGACCCCTTGTCGAAGACGACTTGTCAAGGGTCAACTCGACCACTTACTCGGCAACTTCCTCGACGACTTACAATGGTGACTCGAAGGGCGGTATTCCTCAGGCAATCTGAAGGATAAGACCTTCCTTAGACTTCTTCTAGATATATATCAGCACCACAATCCACGCTGATAGGTCCCATCATGACCTTAGCTCGATAGTCTCTATGACTTGTCATGTCACCTGGGCTATGCACGCCCTCAATCACTTTTCGGGAAATGCGGAGAGCTTTTCTCCCTCGTCGAAGTGACTCTCCCTCCAGTCGCCAGCCGACATCTATAAAGTAGGAAATGACTCAGCATCCAGCATGCACCCTGCAACTCCATTAGTCACTTCGTGGATAATGCGAGGACATCCTCTCCCCATGCCTAAGGGACTTCTCCATCAGTCGCCAGCCGACACCTGTTAAGCAGAGGGTGACATAGTTGCTAGTTAGCACACCGTTCACTGCCTTTCTGTGCTCAATCAAAATAACGACACTGCCCTTCAAGCACCGAGTATATATAGAGGTACTACCCTAACTTAAAGAGAGAGATTTTTTTCTCTTCGGCTAACAGGAGAGACGTCTCTCTCTGTAAATTATATTATACTAGCCTGATCAAGAGCAGCAGATCTCTGGATCTCCCTCACACATGCATACAATGCACCTGAGAACCTCATTGGTTCTTAACCTTCCCCTTCCCCACTCAAGCTCACCAGCTGACTTGATTGTCGGAGGAACCACGGGGGAACCGGTCCCTGTCCTCTCACGAGTTCTTTTCTTGTGCAGCATGATCTACAACCCCAGTTCAAGAACCAAACATAAAGTCAAAGAAGGAGGCGTCCCCCTCATCAATATCCTCTACCTCGTCCCGACGAGGGCTCTAGAGGAACCAATCCCGCCCCGGATCCAAACAACTGACCGTGTGATCTTAGTCATCAACAGCCGCATCTTTAGATATGCTATACTCAAGTCAATCTTCAAATTCATTACGCTAATTATGATTTAAAAGACACAAATCATTTCTAATTTTTCTTTATGGAAATCATGTTTGCGTGGTTGACAAGAACCTTTTTGCAAATATGCTCTTTGAATGTCATCTCGATGATTAAGATGATAGTCGAAAACATCCAGTTGAAGCCCCGGATCTACTGAAAGATCTTTTAAGTTCACTTTTTCATTTGCTTCTTGCTTGGTTCTAAATTCTCAAGATCAATTAGAATTTGGTGTAGTTGATCGTATTCTGTTGGTGACTTTTTCTTGAGAAATTTCTCCATATCTAAAAAAGTTATGATGCAAGATAATAGATATCAAACTATTATTTTAATTAATTAATAATTATTTTTTAGTTATATTTAATTAACAATTCTCACAATTTGACTTTCTATAGTGTTTATATGACTCAAATTCTCAAAATAACTAACAATCCATTAACCACGAATTTCTTTTACACTTTATTAATATATTTCAAATTTTAGTAAAATCGAAGAAAATATTTGATGAACAAAACTAGTATATTGCATATGCTTGATATATTATAATCTTTTAATTGTATCCCTAAATCATAGATGAAAACATCCAACTGTTGTGAACTAGTAAGTAAACAAACCATATTATCTCTTTAAACACACAATTCAAAAGAAAATTGTGAGAGAAAGAAGAGAGTGTGAGAGGAAGAAAGAGTAGGTTTGGGTTTGGGTTTGGGGTTTTTTTGTTTTTGAATATTTTTAGTAGACAACTCATATTTGCATCTAACATGTTTTTAGTGCTGCCGTAGGTATTTTAAAGATTTTTTTAAGTGTCACAAATAAATTTTTTTAGTGTATGTTCTTATACAATAAGTGTAATTCAGAGTGTTTAGAGGGGGGAAAAGGAGATAAACTTTAAGGGGATAAATTGCAATTGTACTATAAAGCCGGGAAGAAAAAAAAAAGTCATAATGTAAATATAACAAGTTTTAAAAAACATCCCACTAAATACCGAATGGTCTCCTGACGACTGCATAAATGGTGAATCAAGTAAACGACAATTGTTGGGTCAAATTATTAATCTTCGTATCGACATGCGTTGCGTCAATCAAAAAGTAAAGTAAGTAGCTTTGTGATGAATCATCAATGTGGATATTCGACGCGCACCATATAAAATGAAACTATAACGAATTTAAAACTGAATTTAAAATATGTAAGTTTTTTTTTAAAAATAACTTTTACGAGTCCATGTTAGCATGCAAGTGAAATATAGTGTTTGTTTAATAAATTAAATTATTGTTAAAAGTACAATGTGAAGATGACGTGACAAAATAAGATTAGTTAGAAAATATAATTAAAATCATGTAACTAAGCTTAGTTACTATTCTTGTTATTTTCATGTGACTTCACCATTTTTTTAGAGGAAATCAAAATCAAAATTAAATTAAAATCTATGTGGCAACTTTTTTGAATTTCACTTGCATGCAAACAAACACCTAAATCGTTAAAAAATAATAATTTTTTTTCACTTTTATGTTTCACTTGCATGCAAATAAACGCCCCCCAAGTGAAGATTAATATCTGAATCTCAAACTTTTCATACCCCTTACGACTATTTCTTAACAGTTAAATAAATAAATTTCTGAGACCTCATTTTTATATATAAAAAAGTATTTATCTATATTCGTCATTACCCCCTCACAGTTATTGCATGACTTAGGAATCAGCTTGGCATGCAAATATATATCAGATCCAGATATTATTAATTTGTTTATCTGGTCAAAATCTTTTGATTCGTGATTAATCAACTTAATAATCAAGTTATATTATATCGACTCATTTGTTAGTAATTTTTGACAGGATTCGTATGACTGTTACCGAAATCTCAAATGCGTTACGGTTCCATTTCGGCCTTTTCTCAGAAAAGCTCACGACACTTAGGACACTAACCGTACTTCTAAATACGGTTTATTCCTAGCCTAGCCCACGGAAAAACAAAACAAATATACAGCAGAAATAGGATTTATTTGTAGTTTGATACCCTAAAATTCATATTTTTTTAAAAAATTTTTGATAACTTTAAATTTATATTTGACACTTTAATACCTGAACTCTACATATTTCTTTAATTTTTGATACACTAAATTTTTTTCCTGACACTTTAATACCTAAAATTTACACTTTTCAATTTTAATACTCAAAGTTTAAACATTTTTAACTTTAATATTCTAAGTTTTGGGAAATTAAAGTTGTCATACCCTGAAAATTACCAAGACCAATAAAGGCGACCACATGGTAATCAATTGGCACGACCCGGGTGATAAGCCGGCTGACTTGCCTAGCGATCCAGATCAGAGGTGAAAGGAGCTTCTGACCTGAATCGCGATGGATGTTCGACTCCGAGACGAAAAGCGTTCTCCACTTGGACTAGACACAAGCCATCTCGAACAACAGAACAGCTTAACAAGCGTCATCAAAAAATCAAATTGAACAGTCTGCGCCCGCACTTCGCCGCCCAGTCGCCACCAAACAATTAATGTGACGTCAGTCCTGATGACCTTTTCAAGCTAGAGCCTTCAAAGCTTCTCGGACACGCCATTACTCCAACAACCCCATCACTGTGTAAAGGCGACCTAGCCAATCATCTGCTGACATGTGTAAAGTAGGGTCCGAACTAATGCTGCACACACTGGATTAAAATTACCTACGCGCCTCCGTAAACCCTGTATAAATAATGGTGATTTCCACCAAACCAATGTACACAAGTTCAATACTACACTTTGTTTTTCTCTTTAGAGTAACTAGAACTAGTTACTGACTTAAGCATTGGAGGGCATGCCAGAGGGAACAATCTCTGGTGCCTCTAACCTTAGTTATTTGTGTAGTGATTAACATCGCAAGGATCCAAAACAGGAGAATCAACCACCAAAAGCGATTAAGGAACCCAAAAATTTGAGTTTAGCCCTCTTAAACCACGTATCAACTAGGCGACCTAAATAAAAGTGTTAAAATCAAACATTAGAGAATTAAAGTTCAGAAAAGTGTAAATTTTAGGCTATCAAAGTGTCGAAATAAACTTTAAGATTTCAAAGTTAAAAAATATATACACTTTTAGGGTATCAAAATATTATTAAACTTGGGTTCTCAAAATTAGTAATGGTGTAAATTTGGGGTACCAAAGTGCAAATAACACAACAAAATAAAAAGGGACCCATAAAAAAAAGGAAAAGAAATAAATAAAAGATAGAAAGGGAGACAGAGCGAGCCACATCGATCCCTCATCTCCTCCTCTCTGTCGTCAAAACCCTAACCCTAATTTCCCCGAATCCAATCGATCGATTAATCATCCTCTCTTAATCTCAGGTCAGTCTTCGGATCTCTGCTCTCTGAATCCCTAACACTTTCTCGTTCTCGCGTTAGTTTTGGATTCGAAATCGTTGATTTTGATTCCTATTTGTCAGTTTCTGTTGGATCGGTGGATTTTGGTGTTATGCGGTTGTGTTTGGTTATGGAGGGATCTGATTAGGGGATTTATTATTAAAACTTTAGGGCTTTTGTGGAATTTGATTTACGACATGTTTTTTATGGTTAGCTTATTGGAAAAAGGGGCGATTTGACGGGTTTTCATTGGATCTAGTGAATTACGAGGGAAAAGATCTGGATTGGGTTTCGGGATTATGTTTTTTTTGGCTGAAATTAGGAACTTAAAATATTTTAGGGATTGGTTAGGGTTTGATCTTCTAAAAGTTCAGAGTTTTATCTTTTTATATAAATTTACTATTGTGGATGCTTATTCATTATTTCCCCGTGATTTTATTGCTTGCTTTTTTTGGGGTGTGTGTTTGGTTGGGGGGGGGGGGGGGGTTTCTTGTTGGCCTATGAGTGCAAGTTTCGCAATACAAATTATATTGTAAAACCTAATTAATTCACATGTTAAGTTTTTGCATTCAATGGTTATTGATTACTGTAGTGTTCCCTTTTCTGTTTCATACTGCGAGCTCGTCATTGTAATGCTGGGTGACATTCTAACTGTCATTGTTTTCATTCTTGAATTTTGTAAACCGAGTATTTTCTACTGGTGAAGCACATGAAATGGACGATTCTTTTGCGAATACAAAGGTTCCTGATTACTGATGAATTGAGTAAAGTATCTGTGTTTTCAACTATTGTCGGTGTCATTATTTAAAAAAGCTTCCGCCCAGCCCGTCTAGGTGTCCGCTTAGGCTTAGGCAGTACCTAGGTCACCTGTTTAGCACCTAGAGCCTAGGTAATACCTAGGATGCCGCCTGGATTTTGAGAGCGCCTAGAGAAGCATGGACTGCTTATGTGGATTGCAATCTTTAGGCCTTGATCATGATTTCCTTCGTTGTAGCCTTCACGTCCTCCAACCTCCTCCAAACCCCTCTAGCCTCCAACTATGAACACCACTACCTCCTCTACATCCTGTGACCTTTAGTAAAACATCTTCCCCCGCAATTTAACAAAGAAAGAAAGTCAGTCCAACATCTAAACTTTCTATAATATTGGCATTTACTGTCAATTATTATAATTTATTAAAAAATAAAAAAAGGAAAACTGCCTAGCCGCCCGCCTAGGTTCCTAGGCTCTATATGTCGGGTCGAACGCCTAGGCCGCCTAGCACTTTCTATAACATTGGATGGTGTTAGATCAGTTATCAATGTATTCACTATCCAATACCATCCTTCGTTCCACAATAGAGATTTACATCCTGTAAATACCTAAGTTCTGACCTCTCTAAATGGCATAATCCCCACCATCACACATCTATGAACTCTAATAAATTACGGTTAACAAAATATTCTTTTGAGAAATATATCTATTCCTGGTTACAAAATCCACATCAGGGATTTTGTCTACGAATTATATATTACTATCTTGTAGAGGATGTTAGGACTTGGTTATCAATTAATGGTTTTCTAATAAATTACAGTTAACATTTTATAGCATATCCTCGGGTTACGAATTAATGCATGAAGCGCACATAATTAGGTTCAAGCATTCAGTTCAAATCTACATGCAGTTTTATTTAATCTTCACATTTTTTGCCACGAGATGTAAAGGATAAGATATGAGTTGATGATGATTCAGGTAACTATGGGTTTTCTACCAGAAGCTTATTTTGTGTCTGATTTTAGTCTTTTAATCATTTAAAGTATTTCCAATTCACTACTTTGCTGCTTGCGTCCAAATTTTTTAAAATGTCTGCATGCCATACCTTATCATTTACTGTTATTTCTCTGCACCGTTGTCAGTGCAGCATAGTAAGGGTGACTCTTGAAAAGGCTCGTAAAAGAAAAGAGGAAAGAAGACATTTTAACATGGAAGGGACGCTTTGAGAAGACCTTAAGTTTATGAAGTTCTCAGGGGGATAGTTTGATAGAAACCCTGAAGTGATTTTTGAAGACTAATACTCGATAAGCATCATTGAATTTAACTAAAACAACCTTTGCTCTTGTATTCGGACCAGAATAGATAGCAGTTATCCCTGTGTTTAACTTTCACATGCTTTGATTATTGCATATATTGATTGTATATCTGCTTGAATTTTGTTATTTTCGTGGTGATAAAGTATAGACTTGAGAAACATTTGGAAAACACATCGTTTGTGGTAATGAATACCGTCTGTATGAATTATCTACTGTTTTCATTCATCAATGTGCAATTTTGAAGTTAAGCTCAGTAGTTCTTTAAATGAAGTCATGGCAACAGGTTCTTTGTCGATGAAATTAAATCACAAGGAACCTCTAGCAACTTGTTGCTTATTCTTTTTATATGATTGATCCTTTTGTTTCTCACGTCATGTACCCTTTTGTTTGTTTTGGCGGGTCTTAGACTGGGTAGTTCATTTGTTGAGTGGATGGATATTTTTGTTCTCTATTTGGTTCCAAGCCACCTGCGCAGTTCATTCTGCAAAAGATAGGACCCTCATGGTCTAGGAAAAAAAACATCTTGATGTGTATTAGTTGATTAACAAATAACCGTAGCTAACAGTCATCATATGCAATATGATCGAAGAAGATGTACTAGTTTGTAGAAATAGAGTTATGCGGTTGTATATTCTGTTACTTATGTATTTGTCGCTATATTTAGCAAGATTCATAGATGAAGTATTGCAATTATTGTTGTATAGTTCAAACTGATACTTGACTTTCTTGGTTCTGCATTTTCCAACTCTTTTTTTATTTCCTTTTTGTCATTATATGGTATTATTAGTCTTCTGTTATGAAAATTTCTATATGTTTTGTTCATTTCTCTAAATTATATGCGGTTTCTGAGATGATAATTCCTCTCATTTCTGATTGAAAGTGTTTTTTGTTGGTTTCAGTCTGCTTTAACAAGATCATCGCTGTCGGTACTTCCCTAGAACACAAATAAGGCTTATTGCGAAGTTCTAAAATGTTGTGTTCTTTTACTTGTTTGGTTTTTGGATTGAAACTGAAATATTTGCTTAAATCATTTAGCCTGAGGACATTATTTTTTTCTTTCTCAGTACAAAAAGATTCATTATTTTGGTATTGTGTAGATTCAGAATGAATTTGAAGCTTACATGGATGTCTGTGAAATTATTTTTTTGAGTAATACAACCTTATCCATCTAAAATGGTTGCACGGGGAGCATTTGTCTTTGGTCTTCAATGGGCAAAATCTGAATTTATATTTAGGTTACTAAAAGTTCATATTAATCAAATAGGTGTTGCTACATGGCAACATATATTATTTGGATCATCATTACCATTTTCTGGAGCCATCTAGGAATACAGAAATATTCTCTTAGTTAAAAACTGTCTGCAGTTAAGTTGGTCGCCGTACTTTCTGAACTTTACTCAAGTTGGTCATTGTACCATAAGTCTTATGGGCCTACTTGCAGGTAGGGTTATTTTCTTGTGTACGCGAGCAGCTCTCAGGTCTGAAAATATTCTTGGAATTAAGAAAGGGTTTAGCAAGATGTGAGGAGGTAAGAAGACCTGGGAATCATGCTGTTCTGGAAGTACAACCATGCTGAGGAGTCCTATTTATTCACTATGGTCGTGTCCATTGTTAGAGATAGAGTAAGGCTTTTTATGATTTTCATATGTCAACATAGTTGATTTGCTTTAGTTGTTCTCGATCCTGTGTCAACTCTGCCTTTAGTTAGGGTATAAATATACTTGTCGCACAAGGCTTGTTTTTGTTTGTCTTTTGAAAGGGTTGCATTATTCTTACAATTGCATGTACGTTATTTATCTAGCTTCTGAAGGCACATCTCGCCGTAAATCTGTTGGTTTTATTTTTAAAATTTGGTCTAGCCAGTTTATAAAATTTTGGAATCAGTTGTCTCCTCAATATTCCTTCAAATAAGATGCTATACAGGAAATATTAGGATAGGGGTTTAGTGTAGTTCATTTGATTTTGTTGTCAAATCTGTCTGTTGCATGAGTTGCTTGAGAAGTTTCCTGCTTTAGTCATGGAACTGCAATATTTGTGATTTGCTATGCCCTAAATCTCCTTAACTCCCTGCTACATGCTATATGTTTGCATGTTTAGGAATGTGTATATATAACACCTTCCATGTCGCTTTCAGGTTTTCAGAGATGTCTCCCGCAACAAAATCTAAGTCGAAGGACAAAACAGCTGCAAGGGCAGTCAAGGAACAGTCGAAGGCTTCTTCCAAGCCATCTGCTGGATCTTCAAATAGTGGGAATGGGACTGCAACAAGTGCATATAATCCAATTTCTGGCACTTTTCATGCCCTGGAGAATGTTCCATCTAATGGTATGCCCACAATCCCAAGCAATGGCCGGTTTCGAACTATAGATGATGAAGAACATTCTGGTAGTTCGCTGGGTACTGCCGCTGAATATGATTCTGTATCCAACAACGACAGTTGTTCTGGTGAATCAGAAGATCAACAAAAGGAGAAGAATACAGCCAGCAATATATCTCGCGTGGATCCTGTCCCTGGTTCTGATATTGACAAGCGTGAGAAGATAAGGCTCAAGAATGAGAAGAAGCATCAACGACAGAAGGAAAGGCGAGCCCAGGAGCTCCATGAGCGTTGCTGTAGCTATTTAACCTCGAGAAAACTGGAATCACTCGCTCAGAAACTTGTAGCAATGGGCTTCACATCCGAGCAGGCAACAATGGCTCTCATTCACAATGAAGGTCGTGTTGATGACTCGGCCTTGTGGCTTCTTGAAGGAGGCGAGGAAAGCAAACGGCAGTCTGCGTCCAATGTAGATGGAGCAAATCCCAAGATAGATATTGCGGATGAGCTTGCGAGAATTACAGAATTGGAGTTGAGTTTCAAGTGCACGAAGCAGGAGGTTGAAAGAGTGGTTGTCGCCTGCGAGGGTGATTTGGAGAAGACAGAAGAGACATTGAAAACACAGAAACAAGAATCGACAACTACACCACCTAAATTAGAAGAATCTAGTGATCAGCCTACAGTTTCAGCCAATGGGTTCCATAATAGTAGGTTAGCGTCCTCTAGCCAGAACTCCATTATAAGACCACAAGGGAAGGGAGTTGCTCCAGCAAGTGTCCAGTTGCAGAGACGGGATGAAAGAGAATTTAATTATACGAAGTCCACAGTAGCAGGAGCAAACCAAACCGAAATAGCAAGCAGAAACTTGCAGCCAACCTTGAGAAAATTACCGGCAAAGCAAGATTGGATGAAATCACAAGCTATAGTTCCTCCTGTTGAAAAGAGATGGCCTAGCACAAGCTCCAGCCCAACCCCTTACTCCTTAGCATCTCAGGTTGCAGCACAGTCGAAGCCAGAGGCTCGGTATGTCACTACCAGTGGCAGTGAAGTCAAGGCCAACTTACTTCAGGGAACACTGAGAGAGCCGATCTACGTGATGCAGCGCCCTCAGTCATCTAATGGCACTCGGCAAAACATCCTGCCAGTAAGTGTCGGTCTCAGTGCTTCGCCACCAGCATCAACGGGGTGGTACCCAAGCAACAGCAACGTCACCAGTGCCGTGGAGATGATGAAGTTAGCGAACGGAGGTCTAGGGCAACATCTGCGCAACTTGGCTTTGTCCGGGTCTAATCCTCAGCAGTTCTATCCTCCAGACCACCACCAACAATACATTTCATCGTATATGGATTCAGGTGGCTCAGGGTGGGGTGGCTCCTACAATATGCCAGGAACTACTATGAGGTCATCGTCCTCATCTTCGCTCGCTGTTCCTTCCTCATTAGGGCTATTCACCGGCTGGGGCACATCGGGTTCTTCCGGTTCTTCGTCGCCCGTCAACTGGAGCACTCGCGGGACGATACCTCAGTGTGACTACACCAGCATAGATTGGAGCTTGGACTCGACGCCACTGCCACTGCCGTCATCATCTATAAAGGGTGAGCGGTTGTACGATAACTCGTGGCAATCTTCATACACTCCGTCGTCGAAATCCTCGAGGCCGGTTTTCAACGATGGAGGCCTGATGGTTGAGCGTCCTGCTGCACCCTCCGCAGGATCCCCGGAGTGGACCTCCCCATTTGGTGGGAAGGACCTCTTTAGGGTTCCGAGGCAGTTTGTTACATCCCCATCCCCATAGCGGAAAAAATTGAGGGGGGTCATTTGGAAAATGGTCATAAAAGAAAATGGACTCTATGGTTGAAAATTGTTTGCTGTTTGCTTCTGAAATCTTTGTGATGTCTAATTTTATAATATCTCAAGTGGTCTTGCTGGGGTTGGTTGTGTTTGGGGTTCAAGTTGTAATGCTGTCCTTCGCTATTATTTCCTGATGCATCGCTGAAATTGGTCTCTGAATCTCGCCTGATTGCAGGAATGGTTCTTGAATTCTGCTGACTGAAGCTTAAAAGCGTCAGGCTGCTGGAGCTTGAATAATTATGTCTTCTACTTACTTTGTTTTAATGGGTTAGTCGTGAAACATTGTGATAGTACATAGGGGCTCGTGTTTAATTTACCCTGGTGTTCATAAGGAAATGGTTAGGATAACAAAGACAATAATTAAAAGGAAAGACGGTGATGACGTCGGAAACGAAGTTCTTTCAATTACCGAACTATACGTAATCTTCTTTTGGGTTTTACTCTTTCTCGGATGTGTGTTCTCAATTTCAAAAGAAGTGTTTCTTTTATGTCCCTAAAATCTTTTATATGTTGTAATTAGACCTTCAAATCATTGAAATTGCTATCAGGTCTCTCGGATCTTAAGGCTGTTGTGAATCTAGTCCCCGAAACACACACACTGGAGTTATTCCCAATTAGTCCCTACATTCAAGAGCAAAACTACTAGCATTCGGAGGGAACAACATATGAGAATTTGGGTACGTAATAGTCCATTAGAATAGATCTTATTACCCGGCAATCCCTCCAATTGCTGCTTACCCTCTTAAATGGAGAGACTAATGTGAAAATAACTTACGAATTTGGGGATCTAATTGCAATTTCAATGATTTGAGGGACTAAGTTAAAAAAAATGAAAGATTCAAGGGACTAGTGTAAAACCCCAGGAAGAGAACAGTCATATTAAAGACACGCATCAAACAACAAAATCATATTTGATATTGATAGCATCGCATTTGAAAATTTTCAAAATTCAGAATATCAAACTTCATCGTGTTGACAGAATCGTCCCTGCATCCATGAATCAAGACTGGCTTCAGGATTAAGTCAAAAATTTCAATAAAACCTATTGAAAACGAATCCGATTCATCATCAAATCAATTGAGACAACCTGAGCCACCAAAAACAAAAAGACTTAACAGTAAGAGGTTAAAATAGGACAATAGATATTTACCACATGCATACTGGCAAAGTTCAAATTCCATTTTGCTAGGAAAACTGAATACCATTCGAGAAAGATTTATGACAACAAGAAGCCCTCATATAAACAAGGCTAAAGGGTGACCATCCAATATTTATTTCAACAGGACTTCCAACCAAAAGATAGACATGCAGAGAAGTAAGACACGAAGAGGGAATGACTAACAAAAGGACTGAACAGGCCAAAACACCACCCCTAGTAATCAAAAGGCCATCCAGAGTAGCTCATCTCATTGATACTATCCTCACTAACACCAGCAGAACCTCCTCCAGCCCCACTCTGCCGAGTAGTAGTATTACCGGAATTTGACGCACCGAACGGCCACAGGTAAGAGAAGGGGTTCCTCCTCCTGCTACTTTCCCCGCCGTTTTCCCTACTAACAGAACGGCCATCACCGCTACCGCTGTTACTGCCGTCACCACCGCTTGAACTCTGACGACTCGATCGATCACCAGAACGGACACCACCATTATATCCTGATGGTAGCTCAACGCGACAAACTGGGCAAGAATTATGCTGAACCAACCAAGGAACGATGCAATCTGAGTGATACAAGTGGTTGCATGGCATTTCTCGAGCTTCAGAGCCCAGCTCAAACCGTTCTTTACAGACGGGACAGTGGGAATCTCCCTGAAGATGCCTCCGGGTTATCTTTATCGTGGGTATGGCATCGATGGAGGATCGAGCAGCTGGAGGTGGGCCACGACGATCATTGTTCCTCATCAACATTTCGATGAAATCTTCTAAGCCACTGCCAACAAGATAGTCTCCAGCATTTACACGTCTAGAGTTTCCAATATCAATATGAGCTGGAATCTGACCGCTGAAGAGAAGGAAAGGGCCTGTGCCAAACCCTAGACCTTGATCAGAGATGGAATTGGGTCTTCGATGGATGTCAACTTCACGATTCCTTCCAGCCATTCGCTGCCTCATGAAGGCGGAAAGGAGCTCCATAACCCTAAGTGGATGGTCCTGATCTTCATCAGGATTCGGTCCAAGAAATCCTAGTGGCCCCATGATTCCACCAATCTCGTTGAGTTCTTGCAGGAAGCCTTCATCACAGTAGGGGCATAGAAAGTCTCGACCAATGGGGGTGACCGCTTGCCTGCATCTGTAACACCAGTGAGTGTTCCCGCGGCTCGACATTGTTGAATCAAACTGATGAGAACTGGGAATGCACAGAGCTTGGACCTGAAACCTGATATGACCTTTATCTCCTCCTGCACCCTTAACGGATAACAAGCATCAATTTTGCATAACTTAATAAATTAATCAGCATCATTCCACTGTATTTTCCCCTAAAAATGTATTTGTTGGGGTAGGACTTAAAGTTGATAACACTAGGTAAGGATTGACCAAAGTAAAAGAACATAAGTGTAAGTACACGTTCAGTATGCCAGTCGCTATACTTTCCTACCAGAGAAAAAAATTCAAGATAATCTAGGATAGGACCATAGCATTTAGTTTAATTGTATTGAGATGAGATTTTACCTCAAGCATGCACATCTAGGTTGTATAAATAAAACACTTCTAGAATGCACACTTTTGGTTATCTAATACAAATCAGAACTCAAGCAAAAAACATGTGTACAAGGATTTTTTAAATGATGTATCAATTTAGAGAAAGGGGTATGCCCTAGATTTCTTCTTTTACCAAATTAAGAGACAGGGATGCACAAAATTTTAGATGAATCAAGGTGATTCAGATTGGGTATCGATTACAAAAACCTAACAGGTCCGGCATACAAAGATGCAGAGTGAAGAGAATACAGAGGCTTGGCATTTTTTGGTGTTGGTGTATTGTGGGGCTGTTTATTTTTTAATAGGGATTCACAAACTATCAGAGTGCTTTTCGGTTCTAAACTCCCATATACCTTGGTCTAATCCCTGTGAAGATCAAACAACCAGAGGCACTTTTAAAGTGCTTAATGCCAAACATTATGAAGCTCAAGCAATCAGAAGTGTTTCGCTCCCCAGCAGGCTAAAACATCAAAACATCCATCTGTCCGCGCACGATGTGCGCATAGATGCATATTTATAGTATGCAAGTACCAACATACCTAATATATAAATATGCACCAAATGCCCAAACACGTGTTCACGCATACATATGATATATATACCAAGGCAATAGCACGGACATTAATATGCACACACATCTGCTCGCGTCAGAGTGGGCAATTCAAACTTCACAACTCCACGCATGAAAGTAGACTTAGAGCTAGCATCAATACGAGCGAAGATATTCAGCATAACGATCAGAATTTAGTCTGCTCCAATCTATTTTTTCAATCTATTTAAGCTTGTAAAGTGTAACAGTTTTTTATTTTATTTTTTTCTTTGGTAGGCCTGAGAGGATACAACAAATCTGAACCCTAGATGACCATCCCCAAAACCGTCACGAAATCTGGCAAAGTACTTAATCGAGGTCGTCAACTGCATAATACTCGCATATAAATCCCAGAAAATTCGTTCATGTCCCCTATGACATACATTTGTCACTCAATCTTATTCAAATTATCAAGATGTAAGCAAACAGGAAAGAGATCCACGCAATTAAAAGAGAATTAAACCCTAATTCGATCGTCTTTGGCAAAAATTGAACGAAAATTGATGGAAACCAGTTACAGAGCCCGGTGAAAATGGGGAAAAGATTGTACCTTTGCAAGAGGCAGATGAAGGACCCGATGCCCTAGATCTTAATTAGGGCTAGGGTTAGGGTTTAGAGGGGGGATTGGATGAGAGAGAGACAGAGAGAGAGAGAGAGATGATCGAGAGTGGGAAGTAGGAGAGAGGTCTTCTAGAAGTCTCTTCCCCGTCTATCTGCTCATCCTCTATGGCCTTCACGTAGGAGCCACGTGGCTTCTTTTAGGCCGTTTGATGTGGCTTATCTTCAATTGTCGGTGGAACTGGTCTCTATTTACCTTTGGTTTTAATTTCATGTTTTTTAGGGAATTCTTTTTTTAAACAAGACCCTTTTTTAACCTTATTAGCAAAATCAATCTTTTGTGATTTAATTTTGCGAGATATAGTTTTAAAAATACACTGAACTAGTAGTCCAGTGTAATTAGTGTTGGCTACTCACATGCTGATTAAATTTTAAAAAACACAGTAGACTAATTAAACTATATCTGGGTGTAATTAGGCACCACTAAATACATGGGATTAGTAGTCACGTGGATTTTAAAACTTTAGTTTTGTAAAATCGACCTCTTTTTGGCCGATTTTGCTAATTAGATCTAAAATAGGTCGACTTTACTAATAAAGTTTTAAGAATGGACTTTTTTTTAAAATTCTCCCTTTTTTAATTAGTTAAGGCTAAATTGCAGAAAACCACCTTAACTCTGGACAATTATTAGTTAATCCCCCTAAAATTTGAAACATTAGGAAATCACTATTTAAGGTTGGGGGTTGTCATAAAACTCCTCCTAATTTTAAGGTTTTTTTCAGACAACCTCTCTAAAAACGTGAACCACTTTTTGACTAGCGGAAATATCGCTTGCGCAATTTTACCCACTCATGTGAAATTTGCATGTAATGCTGTTAGGATGGTTTTATGAGAAATTCTTGAAGTAACTTTCTAACAACCCTTAAACTTAAAGGGTTTATAATATTATGGAAGTTATCTGATAATCGTCCAAATTTAACTAGAGTTTGTGAAAAATTTAGCCTTCTATTAACTCGTGGTCCAAAGACTATTAAGGATTACGTAAAAATATCACAAATTACTTTTATAATAAGAATATAAAGTTTCGAATTAGCAGAAAAAATATCTATAAAAAATTATAAGGTGGGTTTATGTAAATATCTTAGGGTCCATGATAGTTCACGTTTACGGTGATTCTACCCTAAAATTCATGATGATAATTTTGTAATACGTTACTATAAGTAAATGATATTTAACTTATGTTTAATTTCTGAAAAATTATGTTATTTACTGAAAACTTTATGGTATTTATCCTTAGAAAATTGTATATGGTGTTATTTTTATGGAAAAAAACTCAAGCAATTCATATTAACTCTTGCTGTCCATATAGTGGGATCAAATTTACTCTTAACATATCATATTAGATAAGGAATGATGCAAATTATGAGCAGTAAGTCTGAAAGATCAAATTAAACTAGTCCTTAAATGTGTAATGAAAATATATTCACAGGTAAAGACATCCAACTCCTAGCATTGAAATGATAAACTCTTTGTATTCAAATTTAAAGAAAACCAGAATAACATTAAAGGTTTCAATTACCTAAACTCAGGTATTATATCTCATTACCCACATTCCCATGATACATATTAACCGAATAGTTCTCAAATTAAAATACAATAATATCATGTGATTTCTCCGGTATGTTCCAGTTTTGCATCAGATTCTCAATCAAATCTGCCTCGATCACATTCAACAGCAGTTAGTTCCATGAGAAGTTGAGAACCAACGATGATTTTTCTTACTCTTCTCTCAAAATTGCTTTCTTACTCTCAGCAGAAAGCAGCTATCCGTCTCAATTACACACTGATTGAAAGACCCGAGACAGATAAATAATGTTACATTGTTATTATTGAGAAAGCTCAGTCTACGATTCATGTTTCCTCACGAGAAGCAATAATCTCCTGCAATTTAAATATCTCATCTTCTCTATCATGAAGGTCTTGCTTTAATTTCTCGATTTCTTCGACACGATCTTCTCTATCTCGGAGCTCTTGCTTTAATTTCTCGATTTCTTTCACAAGATCATCTCTATCTCGGAGCTCCTGCTTCAGCTTCTCGATTTCTTCTATGTGATAACACTGTAGCAGGGACGTTCTCTGCCTTTTCTGGTCTTGGGTGTCATCTTCTAGGGCGTTTCTTTTCTTTGGGAACTTGATGTTATTAAGAAGACCGTCTGCTGTCATCCTGCGGACATAGAAAGTAAATGTTCGTCCCGTGCTCTGTGTGAGCGTGACATTCTTCTGTAGACGTCCGCTAGTGTCCTGCGTTGAATGTGGAACAAGTATGAGATCAGAACCGTTTTTGGACTAGTAGAGTGACCCATCACAAGTTTCTTGGTTGGTCATTTAGTAAAATATGTTGTTATCTCATACTCACTTTATTCATACATAGATTCTGCCATTAATGTGTGTGCGCACACACGTACATGAGGAATATGGGTATCCTTGATACTGGTCCTTGATAGTGAGGTTGTCACCTCTCACCCACTCATCTAAACCCACTCATCTAATGGATGAGTAATCAAGTGAGGACCATTTTCAAGAGGATACCTTTTAATTTGTGGATGAGAAGTGGTCACCTTACTATCAAGGATAAGTTTTGTCCTTGATACCAAGGATAGCTCCCTCCCTCCCTCCTTTTTTTTTGTCATACAGGTAAGTTGACGCTAGAAGTACCATTAGGTATTAATAAGATTCATAATACCAATCCAAATTCAAAATTTGAATCCCAAAGTTCAAAATCTATGCCATTAGGTATTATCTATTTTCACATAATATCATAACATGCACGTAGGTGTGAGCGCTAGAGTTATGCTAGGAATGTCTATTATAAGGGTTATTTCAATCTTAGTCCCTCAAACCTTCAATATTTCCAAATTAGTCCCCCAAATCATGGAAATTCCTACTGTCCCTCAAATCATCGCACTGCTTACAATTAGGTCCGCCTGGTTAACACAATTAGATCTAAAAGACTATTCCCTAAAATCTAACTTTGAGTGATGACTTTCCCATTGTACCCTTGAATTTTAACATTGTGCTAGGAATGTCTATTCATTTTAGGTTTTTTACTGCATTTAGTTGTATTAAGAAAATATCAATGGTAATGTAGCATTACGAATGCAATTTGAATGAAATGTAATTAGAAGAAAATTTGTTCCTGTCATGTATTGTGATAAAAGAGGGCAAGGGAGAGGGATTAGGGGTTTTGGAGGGGAAAGTTTAACCTAAGGGCATTATTGTAATTAACCATGCAGATTAAGGCTTAACTTAACCCAAATTATCTAAAATAAACGTTTACTTAGACAGGGGGACTTAATTGTAAGCAATGTGATGATTTGAGGGACCTAATAGGAATATCCATGATCTGGGGGGACTAATTTGGAAATAGTGAAGATTTGAGGGACTAATACTGAAATAACCCTTATTATTAATAGTATCTGAGATGTTTATATGACTGTAGGTGATCAGATCGTACACCAAGGGAGATCTTTATACAACTACTCTTTTTCTATTATTTCTTTCTTCTATGCCCTTAATAGAGGCGAGTTTGTTTCCCCCGATTGATTTAGAAAGAGAACTGCGATCACATTCATGCCAGTACTGGAAGTTTACCATTGCTTCATACGTCAGAAGCTTCGCAAAATATTGCTTGCCTAGAAAGATACTGCAATTGATTTGATCTTCCATCTCCAGGACAGTACTCTCTTAGTTTTTCATAGCACGATTTAGAATGAAGAAGTTCAATACCATTTACGTGTGTTGTTCTCGACTGGTTTTCAGCTTACGAAACTTTAAACAACAGTATCATGTTTTCAGCGCATACCATGGTTTCTTGCCCTTCTATTCCTCTAAATGCGGAGTAGGCATCTCCCGCATCCTTAAAAATGGCAAAAGTAGAATAGTGTTGGCCTCGAACTCTTAAATCATCCTGCAGAACAATGCGTTTTAAGTTTTAACGCAATGTTCATAACTTTGTATAAAGTACTCTGTTAGTCTACACAAGTAGAGAGCATAAATCACGAACCTGAATATCAATATCATATTTCACAGAAAATACACCCCGCAATTCTTGACAAGGTACTTCAACAGGTACTTTGTGAAGAAACAGCTTCATTAGATCAGACTCTGGCACCTATAGAAAAGTGTATAGATTCGGAAAAGTAAATGTCTTTCTTTGATGCATAAACGAAACACGTATGAGAGGTTTATTAGTTTCAACATACATTTTTTCCATCAATGGCAATCGGATCATCAAATCCATTCTCCAGCTTGGCAAGCACTAACTTCATTGCAGCTTGTGCATCAGTAAGGCAATTATGTGGTTCACCTTCCTTACGAACTTCATAACCCAGCACAGACTGAGACAGAAATAAGAGTCGAAAATAAGGAAATATTGACCAGATGAATGAGAAAAAAGATACAACACCTACTTATCATGCATACAGTAGAATTTTATCAATCATCAGAGCAATTCGCCATGAAAACAGGCCAATTATTAAGCATGTGCCGAAAAATTTCATATGTACTTAAAAAACAACCAACATCTGTGGTCTTTTATCATTTGGTGCTGAATTATTGGCCAAGGTGACATTAAACAAGAGAAGCCATAGAGATGAACCTTAATGTTGGTGCCTGCCCTTTCTATTAGCTTTTGGTTAAAGCGACATCTCAAAGGTTTGGTATATGCAAATTTGTTTATTTTGTTTTAATGCCGTCAGTTAGCAACTGTAATATGATGTAAACACAATCCTACCAAATCATATCTAGCACACACTACGAAATTAAAAGAGGGAGGCCATGTTGTCTAACCCATAAACTTCTAGCACACTTAATAAGGTAGTCTAGTAAGATGCGGAAACTTAAGAAATCACACACAATATTTCTGTCTAGCATCTAAATGGTTCAATTTTTTTTAATTACGCACTAAGATGCAACAGATAATGTCATAAAGGCGTCATGTAATCCTGGGTATATTCCTTAACATAAACAATATTTCTGTCTAGCATCTAAATGGTTCAATATATATTTTTTAAATTACGCATTAAGGTGCAAACAGATAATGTCATAAAGATGTCATGTAATCCTGGATATATTCCTTAACATAACTGGGGGGCTACATATCACATGTAGAAGCACAAGTACATGTCAGGTAGTTTATCAGACACCAGGAGAAACTGCTGCCTAGTCAGATTTCAGTACAAACTACTTGAGATTTAAGATAATCCCTTAGCTTTACACAAATAATATCATCTACTGGTGAGTCTTCAGCAATTTCTTGGCAGTATCCAGTACGAATGAAACCATATTCTGGAGATCTGAATGTTCCGTGTAAACTTTGTACTTCAAAGATAGCGATCCATAACAATGTTTCTAATTGAGTTCAACTATTCAAGGTTCAAGCATCGTATTTGTATGTACCTCTTACTGCATGCATGTCTGATGAAATAGGGCACAACAAGGCATCCCAGAGAAATTCCTAAAAGTGGATGAAGCTAACAGTAAAAAAGGGGAGAAACCCTATAGATGATCCATATATCCATCAGTATTTTCTTTTTCAATAGCATAATTATAAATTCATTAGCGATCATACGGTTTGGGACCCCTCACCAAAGACTCAAGTGACCCAGCTTGTTGCGTGATTAAAATTTGCGTCATGTAATTGTAAACAGACTTATCATGACATTTAATTTAGTTGCCTCCTTAGGAAATTAAGGTACTGGAACATGTCCCCACACCCCACCCCCACCCCCCCCAAAAAAAAAATAATAAAATAAAACCAACCCACACCCCACCCCCACCCCCCCCAAAAAAAAAATAATAAAATAAAACCAACAAAACACACACACACACAAAACAAAGTTCTGGCATCAAATTACCTACCTCTTCCAAATCATTCAGGTTTAGTAACAAGAAAAAATATTTAAGTGTATTACTTTTCTAAAGACGATGATGATGAAACAAATAATTGAATAAAACACTATCAAACCCACTCTTATTAAAATTAGATAAGTTAGTTTTCTACTCACTAGAGAAATTGGTTAAAAATCTTCTGCAACAAACAAACATAGACATACAAAAAGACAAGAGAATGAAAGTAACTAATCCAAACATCTAAATTTGCGGGAGACAATCTCGATTCATTTATAGCGTTCAAAAGATGAGCGCGTGCTATTGCTCAATAGTTTTCAGTAAATGAATTACAATATCCAGACATATATTAGCATTTCATGTGAAATCAGTAGAAGATCTGAATAGGGTACATAAAAAGAGAGAAAATATGTTCCAGATACTTACCTTACACAAATTGTTTAATGAAGGTGAATAAGTAGTAGGCAAGTTCTTCAACTTGAAGATGGATGCTGTATCAATGACTCGTGGATAATCAATCTTTAATGCTGTAAATATAAGAGTAAAGTTCGAACATGAGAATGTTCCACTGCAACACTTACTCAAAGTTCACAAGTAAGCTGCTAGAGAAATATTCAGAAACATCACATAATAAACTAACATCTACAGGCAGATCTACATCCAGCATACCTTTCAGATCATTATGTAACGCGTGGCCAACTAAAATTGTACCATGTGATAACAACTTCTTCAAACTTTTCTGCAAACAGACACAGATAAAAGATTGGACAAGAAAGTATAGTGTAACTGATAGCTGAAAGTAATTAAGAAAGTATAGTGTAACTGATAACTGAAAATAACTAGCATTACCTGTATTTCATCTAATGAACATGTAACGCCCTCCAAATCTTTAGCAGAGATACCAGTAATATATGTTCTATAGTCAACAACATCTTTACTGGGTTTTACAAGTTTATCAAGTTTAACCTGAACACAAAAAAATGAGGTTAACATATAAAATCAACCAAGAGGGAAGGGATTAGAAATGCTGTACATGAAATTTCCATAACACAATATTCAACAAGGTAGAATTCATTACGTTGAAAAATAACATTATCTTGGAAAATAGTTCTATATACAATACCTCCAAGTTCCGACCCACAGCACATACTCTGACTACCGCATCAGTACCATCTCGGCAAAGAACCATCTCGCAATCAACAGAAAGTAATGTTTGTGAACTCATTACCTTAAAAATTTTACCTAGGGGCACAATCATCCAGTCCTGCCAATTCAAACCATTAAATAAGGTAACTCTATGAAGTACAAAAAGCATTTTCTATCTTTTTAGATGTCCATTAGATAGAAAGAAATTTATGAACAATAAGATATTAAAATAAAAAAGAACTATAATTGCATAACCAAAGCAAGATAATCAGTATTCTCAAGTTCTCTAAGTTTCCACCAACCATATCAAAGCTAAACATTATCGAATAAATTTTTTTGAATAAAATAACATGCTCTACTTAAAATGTAAGAAGTTTAAGAGTCTGCAACTTGCATGAGTTGCTTAAAAAACAGAAGGCAGTTGAAAGTTAACTCATGATAACAAAGGTGCAATAACAATGAAATGTCTGAAGAGATGGAACACTACCTCATCATGGGATGGGAAGGAGTAATGTTGAGTGTATTGGGGGTGCTCAACAGTCAACTGGACCAACCTCTGCATATTGGCAACTAGTTAATAAAATTGTACACTATTTCATGTTTTCAACTTCCACACCAATATAAGTATATATAGAGCGCAAAAGACCAATTATAGAGAGCATGCTTCAGAGTCTACCTCTAGCAATTCCAGTGTGAATGAAAAGGTCATTCAAAGAAAATCAAACAAGAACAGTCACTGAGAGACGTAAAAGTATGATAAAATGTTGAGAGAATATAATTATTATTTAGAGGAAGAATTAGTTGTACATTCTGTTCTCCTCAGCCATTAAGTTGTATCCATGAAAATTGTACTGCACATCACTTCACGGACATAATATATTTCTATATGTTTCAGTAATATAAATGCACTTTAATGTAGCATAACAACTTTGTAACTGCATTTCCCTCCTTGTGACAGTTGGTGAAGAACCTAGCAATAGTGGACACTTGTAGGCAGAGACAACACTGACTACACTAGTCGACGAGATTATGATGTTGGTAACAATGATAAAGCTGCTGATATATTATTTCGTATAGTGATCTTGCAGTTGGTGGTGGTGTTGATTCTTGTATGTGCATGATGTCTATGGTTGAGGAAAGTGGCATTGACAAGCAGATCATTAGCATTGACGTGCTAAGATGGTCGAGGAAAAGGGTAGGTGCTAAGATGATGTGTTATGAGACCTAACTAGTATCAATCCTATCCTCTATTTTTGTTACAATTACATCCACTGCAGAAAGTTTGTTAACCTGTTGCAAAAACTTATAAACCCAACAAGATTATTATACTAGTCATCTGTCTATCAAATTTACGCATATTATACAGATAACAAACTACTTTTAAGAGAGAGAGAGAGCAAGACTCCTATCAACTTAAGTTGATGTCCACCAAAATTTGTAGCCACACATTTATTAATATAAAACACCTTTTTATATAATACAAGGATCCCTAGGCAATATGAGTGGTTAAAAACTTTGGTTGACACACTATTCCCTATCCACTTAAGTTGACACAAGTTTTCATATATATATATATATATATATAGCAAAGCTCCTATAAACTTAAATGGATAGGAGCCCTTTGTCCACCAACTTTTTTATCCATTGATTTTGCATTGAGATTTATGCTAGCATATGATACAAATGAAGGCACAAATCTCAAAGATAGCATTGATGTGTAGCACAAATCTCAAAGCATAATGAAAGGATAAAAAGTTTAGTGGACAAGTACTCCTATCCACTTAAGTTTATAGGAGCTTTAATAAATAAATAAATAAATACGCGTCATTCTAGAAAATGAGACACAGATATGTAGCTGCATCTTTTGTCTTTGTCTGACAAGCAACAAGCAAATATGCACCTACCCTTTTAGAGTTTGCCGTCAAACTCCCACCATCCCCACACCATTTAGTTAATTATAAAGTCAACAAGATTATAATGCTAATAAACTCCTCATTTTTTCCTTCTTTCACGCATAAGATTCTCCTGGCCATCAACCACGGAAAAACAAGACCAAGCCAATCACAGACAAGCTCACTCCTTGCTACATTGTTTCTGTCATTCCTCTCCCTCACCGACTCCGGCCTTCTCTTCATCAAAGGGAATGTTTCGGCCAAATGTCCGAGCTGCAATCAAAAGAGGAGGTTTGCGATCGTTTTCTTGTTGAAAAGAAACAAAGAAAAGGAGAAAGACTGTTGAAAGAGGCAAAGGGGGAGAGAAACAGTAATTCTAAGGGGTACTTGAATTTCTAATTACTTTTATTCGTATTTTCTCACAAGTATAAACTTTTCAGTCAAATTCCTACATTTTGATTGGATTTCTATTATTAGTGATACTCAGCATGTTGGTTGACACATCATCAATTTTCCATGTTTTAAAAGATGAACCAATCAGAGAAAATTTGAAAAAACTAGATATGGACCCGGAATTTACAAGTTTGCGCCATTTTCAAATGCAACCAAATAGTGCATTGGTGGCCTTCACTGCACTCGAGCTAAACAACTAAATCAATGTTCTCTCATTTATCCTTGATGGAGCAATCTATAATTTCCTATGAATGCAGCAATCTCTAATTTCCTTGAATGCACTCATTTCAATAAGAGAAACCTCCAATCTCCTACGAATGCCCTCATTTCTTATCCGATATTTTAGTGTATATTCACATCTCAGCAGTAAACACAAGACTATCATATCATTCTCAACTGTAAACAAAAAGATGCTATTCTCAAACTTGTAAACAAAAGTTGTAAAAATATGGAAATCACATTTAACTTTCTCAAAAATTCTTTGTATGGTTGCAACTTGTAAAATAAGGAAATATGTTGATGTATCACCATGCTCAATGTGCATGATAATAGAAATTCAGCCAAAATGGGAGGATTTGACTAGAAAGTGCAAACTTGTTAGAGAAAAATAATAAAACAATTAAAACCAACCAATGCTTACTCCTTCCTCATGCCTCTTTTCAACATTCTTTTCATCTTCTCTTGTTCTTATCACTACACATCTGCCTCCTCGAATCCGAATTCGTCACTAGCCACTCTCCTTAACATTAAGAAGGAGGCAGATTTAGGATTTTGCTCCCTGAACTATATTCTTGGTTTTGAAAATCAATAGTGAAGTGTAAATGAATTATTAGGTTCAGATTTATCATTTGTGTATTGCACCCTACCCTAAAGCTGCACTTCTTACAGGATTAGTAAATTGAATGTACTTTGTTATTTAATTGAAGGGATTAAAAAAAGGTTAGATTTTTATTTTGGTGCAAAATGAGTTGAAAGTTGAAACTAATAAGTAATAAGTGAGTAACCGAAAGTGGCAAATTGAATTATATTTATGTTTCATTTTTTTCTTTGTTCTCCTATTTTCTTTAAACATAAACTCATTATTTGCTTAGAACTTGAATCAAATACATCTTGTAGATTTGTCATAAAAGAAATTTCAACTTGACCTATGTTGCAGATGCAAACAAATGCATTTATAATACCTTGCAAGTTCAACTACTTGTGAAGTTCCGTTTTTACTTTAGATATAATTTTTTTATGAATGTCATTTACCAATGATAAAATAATTCTTTTGAGTAGGACTAGGGTCTACATAAAGTTTATAACTATCACTTTCCAAGAATCTATCACACAAACCAAACAAAGTATAATTTTCATTATAAGACTCTAATGGAATCCAAAACAAAGGAAGGTCTCAAGGGGTATGATAACATGGATGTACTCTTTCCGTGTTGTATCATAAATCCTCAATTTTCACAAGAACATCCAGATAGGCCCTAGAAGTAAATCAAATATATCTTTAACCAAGATAAACAACCAAGACATGCTCAATGCAGTTAATGGTAGTGCTAAGTCTTACATGTGCATGTTGTCTATGGTTGAGGAAAATGGTAATGATAAGCAGATTGGTTGCAGTGACATGCTAAGATGACTTGCAATTTGCAAAGGCACAATTGAAAGGATATTCATGATTGTCGATATAGTTGCTAATCGACTTTGCACAAATCATTGGCAACTTGTAAGTAGAGTTATTAGGATTTAATAAACTTATTTATATTACAATTGTGTTCGAGATTAACTATAAGCAGATATCCAACCCAAACCAAGTTAAATTCAACCTATTATGATTCTTACATGAAAAGAAAATGCTTCGTATAGAGATATTAGGTATAAGTTCTATTAGATCTCTATAAAAATAGACATGATTTATCTCGATTTTTCAACCTAATTTTAGCTTCTTTTGTTCTAGTCAGCAGAAACCAAGGAAGCACCAACATACCATTTCCAACATGCTAAGAAAGCTTCAACATGCTTCTCTAATAAAAGTCACGACATTCATTGCAAACACATCAACAAACTATCATTGGTAGTATTGCAACTTAGTCAACCATCTTTCAATCATCCAATGAATCGTAAAAGTAAAGCAGCAGCATCAACAACGTCTATGCTTGAGATAACCATAATGATGCGTATTGAGTCTATTGACTACTACTCAGCGTCTAGTTTACACAAAATTTTCTTTTACAATATTAGTTGTTCAAATACAAAGGTGAAGCAACCAAAGATGATAGATTTCATTGATGTGTTGGCAATGGTGGGCGTAGACCGGGAAGAGGTTGCTATATGAGGAAGTGTCATCTCATCTTTTAGCTAAGAACTATGAAAAATCAATGGAGATGATAACCTCTTTAATCCCAAAGTGAGGATGTTAATGCATTAAATTTTACTCTCCTGGTGAATAGTTAAAACCTTACATTAGATTTTCTTTTTAGATAAATATTTATTTTTTTTATTGACTGCTTGTTAGTTTATGGAGTCAAATATAAGTTATTTTATTATTGTATTAGAATATTAGAATTGTGCATTAGATCTTGTTTCTTTATAAAAGTAATTGATATTCTTTTGTGCGGTTTCGAACTCTTTAGTTTTTGCAATTGAAAACAATCTTTGCGTGAAATTTGATTATGAGAATTTTTTTGTGTTAGGCTAAGAAACATTAACACAATAAGAGACAATCTCTAGTCTTGTTTAACCATATATCTTATCCTATAGCTGCCAATATTAGTTTTGCATAAGTCATTCAACATCTAGTAAGTAGAGTTCATAAGATTTAGTAAATTCAGTTCCATTAGAATTGAGTTCATGATTAACCTGATAGGCAGATATCCAACCAAACCAAGTCAAATCTAAACTACTACGATTCTTACATGAAAAGAAAATGCTTCGTATAAAGATATTAGGTATAATATTTATTAGTCCTCCATAAAAAAAATAGACATGATTTATCTCGTGTTTTCAACCTAATTTGGTTTTTCTCATCCTAGTCAGCAGAAACCAACATACCATTTTCACTATGCTAACAAAGCTTCACCACATTTCTCCGATAAAAGTCATGAAATCCACCACATTCGCACATCTACGTCAACCACTATTACTGGTAGTTTGTGTAGCTTAGTCAACGTTCTTTCAATAAACCGATAATAAAGCAGTATTATCAGCCAAGCCTACGCTT